GACATGATCACAGATTTTTTTTTTTTTTTTGAGACGGGTCTTGCTATGTAGTTCAGGCTTGCTTTGAACTCACTATGTAGCACAGGCTCGTCTTGAATCTGCAGTGATTCTCCTGCCTCAGCCTCCTGAGTGCTGAGATTTCAGGCATATGCCACCATGCCCAGCATCATTACACGTGTTAGGGAATGTTCTTCTCCACCAGAAAAATTAATAAAGAAGCTCTTTGAACGAATTCATATTTCAGAGAACAATCTAACTCAAAAATTTTTATTTTGAGACAAGTACTCACTAAATCACTGAGTTATCCAGGCTAAGTTCAAAATTGTAATCCTCCAGCCTCAGTCCCCAAGAATGCTGCTTCTACAGATGTGTTCAGTCATCCCTGCTAACAAAAACTGTTGTGCCAACTAGTGTCAGAGCACTGCTGAATAGAGGCTTGAGAGAAACAAAGCTTATCTTCAATCAACTTATAGAATCACTCAGGAGAACAAAAATGCACAGAAAATCTATCTTGGATCTGGAGTGCTGATTATACATTTTTCATTTGGAAAACTATTGAGTTCTATTTTTCAAATGTGTACATTTCCTATTATAATTCCGTAAAAAGCTTTTTAAGAGGTAGTGATATTAATCGTACTACAAGAAAAGTATTTTCAAATCAGAATTCAGAGAAAGAACTAGTCATTGTTAATAATAAAGGCTGTAGGGATAGGGATATAGCTCAGTGGCACGAGCATCTGCCTCATAAACACAAGGTCCTGAGTTTAATTCCTAGTGCCAAAATAAATAAATAAACAATAAAAGTTATAATAATTATTATTAAGCAATTACACACTAGGCACTGTGCTAAATAAACATTTTATATTTCTTTCTTTTGTAGGGTAGGGGATTTGAGACAGTTTTGTTATGTCGTGTAGTCTGGTATTAAACTCACTTATGTAGCACAGGCTGACCTCTAACTCAGAGACCCTCCTGCCTCAGCCTCTTAAGTGTTGGGATTTACAGGCTTGTGCCCCCACACTCAGCTAATATTCTATATTTCATAAAGCACTCCAACATGCTATCTCGGTTTCTTCTTATCTCACTAGTTACTATCTTTCTCCCTATATTTTGTTTTTTTTGAGACAGGGTCTCCACATGTTACCCAGTTCACTGGCTACATATTCAACAGCCCCCTGAACACTAGGATTACAGGTATGCACCACTATACTCAGTTCGCCCTACATTTTAAAAGTGAAACACTCTAGGGCTCAGCAACCCAACCCTCTTCTCTATCTATATTCCTTACAACAGGTCCTATTACTATTCTTCCCACTTTACAGAAGAAATACTGAAGGACAGAGTTAAAAGAGACAGAAATGAGGTACATAGAACCCTCATAATACCAGATCCACTCAGTAGCAAACAAAAATTTCTGCAAATTCTGTTAAGCAAGTTTCCTCCCTAAGTTTCTTCACTTGGTATTTCAGTACTTCTCAAGGAGAAATGTAAAACCCACAGATCCTCAAAGCCAGATGCTTATGAGAATAATCTTTCAGGACTCCAGATGGGATCTGAGTGTGTTAGTGTATACTCCTAATTGCAGCTACTCTGAAGGATGAGACAGGAAAATCACAAGTTCAAGGCCAACCTGGACAATTTAGTGAGACCCTGTCTCAAAAACATAAAATACAAAAGGAGCTGACTTGGTGGCATATGTCTGTAATCCCCACACTCTAGGAGGCTGTGGCAGGAAGATTACAAATTTGCCCCAGTTTGGGCAATTTAATGAGATCCTGTCTCAAAAAAATAAATAAATAAATAAATAAAAAGGGCCATTGCCAAGGATTGAAAAACAAATATATAAACAAAAGGCTGAGGAAGAAAAAAATTTTAAAAAGCCTGGGGATGTAGGTTAGTGGGATAGCATCAGCCTAGTAGGAATAAGGCCTGAGACAATACCAAACAAACAACACAAACAAAAAACAGATGGGGAGGCCACCATTGAGGACTGTAGCCAGCACAGGCCAGGAGAAAAAGCAGGCAGCCCTACTCTCACATGCAATGCCTCATAGTTGGCATTGGGGCCCTCCTGTGGGTAGCCAGTGCAGGCCAGAAAAGGCTGCAGCCAACACTGCTCTTATGAGCACAATGGCCACCCCTGGGGACCTGTAGCCAGCATGGGCCAAGAGAACCAGTCAGCCATACTCAGAGAAGCCTGCCCCACACCTTACTGCCTCCCATGGAACATAGGTTAGGAGAAACCCAAGTGCCTGAACCAGTCCCCTACACTATCGACAGGTAGCCAATGCAGGAAGTACCTGGGACCCCACAGTCCACTTGTCCAAGGAAACCAAGAAAATGTCAGCCCAAAGAGCAAAAGGCAATCTCTGGCTTCCAGCTCACACAGAACAAGTCCAGGAAACAAAGACATGGAAGAAACTGGAAGTTGTCTCCTGAAATTTCTGGGATGATGGCAACTGAAGTAAAGAAACTATTTCATGAGGCTGTAAAAAGAAATCAGATCAGAAATATCTCTGGTAAAAGAAGAAATGACATATAATAAAAGGGTTGCTGAGCATCTCTAAAGACATAGATTTTTTTTTTTTTTTTTTTTAAAAGAGGAGCATAGGAAAATGAGGGAAATCTTACATAAGCAATATAGGAAAGAACTGGAATGCAAGAAACAGATTCAAAGAAAAAATCCAGCAAATTAAAAACTCCATCGAAAGCTGACAAAATCACTGGAAAGAAACTGTAGATGCTCAAACCTTGAAGGCAGGATTGCAGCTAGTGACTGCAAAATGAAAGATCTCTTTAAAATAACAAGGAACCAGGAAATAACAATTCACTGGCTGCAAGACAATGCAAAGAAAAAAATTTAAGACTGATAGGTGTCAGCAAAAAAGCAAAAGTCAATACAATAAGACTATTTCCAGAAGTAATAGCAGAAAACTTCCCAAGTATGGAAAAAGGACCTGATATACAGATCAGTGAGGCATATAGAATTCCAACTAGCCATAAGCAAAATAAATCTACATGTAGACATATAATAATCAAGATCCCAGAAAATCAGCATACGAACAGAACATCAAAAGCTGTTAGGGAAAAGAAACAAAACAGATCATCTATAAAGAAAAACCTATCAGAATCATGACAGACTTCTCAACACAAACCATCAAGTCAAGAAGAACTTGGAGTGAAGTACTTCAAGTCCTGAAAGAAAACAATTTTCAACCCAGATTGATGTACCTTTCAAAATTAATGGAGAAACAAGATAGATACTTTCATGTCAAAGAACAACGAGATGAATTCATGACCACCAAACCAACCCTACAAAGAATACTGAAGAACATTCTAGAGAGAGAGAAAATGACCACGGTTCCAGGAACAGCAGCAGAGGACGATTGCCAAGCAGGTCAGGCAACTGAATGGAGAGAAAAAGTAGGAAGCCAATGGCAGGAAAATAGCAACGCAGAGATAAGTCAGTGCATGTTGACTATAACCACTGATGTAGATGGGCTCAATTCACTTATAAAAAAACATACACATAAGCAGAGTGCATCAAGAAACAAGATCCGCTTATATGTGCAGTATACAAGAAACATTAAACTTGAAGGGAAATTCATAGACTGAAAGTCAAAGGAGGGAAAACAACGTTCTATGCAATAGGGAACCAGAGAAAAGCAAGGTAACTTGCCCATCAACCACAGAATGGATAAGAAAGGTATGGCAGTTTTATACAACTGAAAGCTACTCAGGTATAAAGAGTGATAATCACAAGCTCTTGTAGGTAAAGGATGCAACTTGAGACCATGCTCATGGGTGAAATGGTTTGGACTCACATCAGTGAACATCATGTTGTCTCCCTACTATAAAAAAACTGAAGGAGTTGGTGGGATCCAAAGTGTACAACAGATATTGTGAAAGTGAAAGGGAAGAAATGTCTAAAAAGAGAAAGTGGTAACCATTGTTAATTTCCTATTATCTTGTTTTGAAGTCCTATATTGTTTTCATTGTTCTGTTTTGTTTGGTTTTACTGTTCTGTTTTCCTTGATTTTATTATATCTGATGGTATGAGCGGCTATTTCTAAGATCTATTATTGATTTCCTATTATCTCGTTTCCAAGCCCTGTATTGCTTTCATTGCTTTGTTTTGATTTTACTGTTGTTTTGTTTGATTTTATTAAGTCTGATGATATAGCAACTAATTTGTAGATAACGGAGCATTATGGTAGCCACTGTTGATTTCCTGTTATCCCGTTTTGAAGTCCTGTATTACATTTATTGTTTTGTTTTGATTGGTTCTATTATTTTATTTTGTTTGGTTTTATTCCCTTTAAAGTTTAAAAAAAAAAAAAAAAAAAGATGGAATCTATGCCACTCCATTAAACCTAGAGAATTCCAAGAATCTGTGTTTCTAAGTGCTCAAGCATGTTTGAATCTGGAAACAGATTTGTACTAGGGATCTTTGGTCCTCAGAAGATGAGTTATGACTATCATATATTTACCTGCCTACTAGAGGCTGAAGATGAAATTTGAATGGAGACATTATCCGATTCCAAAGTAATAAGACCAATCAGGGAGCAGGAGCAGTGACTGTGGGGTTTCAGATGAGGAGAGCAAATGTTTTCCAGGAAGTCTGGGAATTTGTTGCCAGAAAGAGGAGCAGTCCCATGATGCCCTTCCTTGGCTTAGGAAGGAGTCATCCAGGGGGAAGTAACTTACCATCTGAACATCCATACTCTCAGAGCATTCACCAAGTGTTATGGGGGTATACAAGGACATTAGGCGACATGGCTATTGTCCCAAGACAACAAAGAAAGCATCGCTAATGCTGTCATTTTTGTATAAATACGAACACACAAAACAGTTTGCTCACATACACAAATATTCTTAGTATGGACCCATAAGTGCTGAAACTAAGGCACAGCAGTAACCTCTACATGCTTGCAGGACGCTTACCTCTGTAAGCGCATGCAGCTGTCCTTGATGTACACACACACCCATGAACCTGAAAAACAAAATAGATTTGTAAACAAAATGAAAAGGATGTGAATATAAATTCCATACAGAGAAACTACCTGACTTACCCAAGTACTAGAAATGATTCAATACCTGTGCAGCCCCAAGTTCCTGTTTGACCTGATTAAGTTGCCACACTGATACATTTCGAAATTTACCATGAAACATCTGCACACATGTAGGAGCAAAACCAATGGTGGAAAGAGAGCTTAGTAAGCTTTAAAAATGGTATAATGGAAAAAGCACTAACCTGTAAGAAAATTTGATGATTGTTTCAGCTCTGTCACTAGCTGACTGCATAATCATAACACACACACACACACACCCCCCGCCAAAAAAAAAGAAGAGGAGGGCCAGGGATGTAGCTCAGTGACACAGCACCTGTTTAGTAAGTGTGAGGCCATAAGTTCAATTCTCAGTACAAAAAGTTTTAAAAAGTGAATGAATGAAAGAAAAAAAATGGTGGCACATGCCTACCATCCTAGCACTTGGGGGATGAGGCAGGATAGAGTTCAAGGATAGCCTGAACTATGAAGCCAGTCCCTGCCTGGAAAAACAAAAACAAAACAAACAAACAAAACACCTCAAAAAAACATTTTCTAGGTGGTCTGGAAAAGTAAGTAGGTTGGAATATCCAATCTGCATTTTTTGGAGGGTTTTTTTGTTTGGGGTTTTTTTTTTTTTTTTTTTTTTTTTTTTTTTTTTTTGAGATAGGGTCTTGCTATGTACTCCAGGCTAGCCCTGAAATCCCAGTGATCCTCCTGCCTCAGCCTTCCAAACAGAGGGATGATTGGCATGTGCTTCCACTCCTAGCCTATCCAATCTGATGATACATATTTTACAAATAAAAAATTGGAAGAAACACATACATTTGGTGAATAATTAAAAACTATCTAGCAGAGCGTGGTGCCACATGCTTTTAATCTCAGTACCTGTGAGGCTGAGGCATGAGGATTGCAGCAAGTTTGAGGCCAGTCTGGGTTACATAGTGAGTTCAAGACCAGCCTGAACTATATAGTAAGACACTGTCTCAAAAAAAACAAACAAAATAAACTACAATAAAAAGACTAATGTCTTTAACTCACAAAGAACTCTTCCAAATATATAATAACGAAAGATAACCCAACAGAAAAATAAGCAAAAGTAATACATATAGTTTACTGAAAATAAATATAAGTGGCTAATAAAATACTAAAATGGGGGGGGGGGGTGACAGCACCCTCCTACAATCCCAGCACTTGAGAGGCTGAGACAGGAGAATCACCATGAGTTCAAGCTGCCCTAGGCTACACAGCAAGATACCATCTCAAAAAATAAGCCAGGTACAGTGGTGCACACCTGTAATCCCAGCATTAGGGAGGCAAAAGCAGGAGGATCACTACAAGTTCGAGGCCACTCTGGGCTACAAAGTGACTTCAGGGCCAGCCTGCACTACAAAGCTAGACCCTGTCTCAAAAAACCAAAAATAAATAAATGAAATAAAACACAAATGTGTTCAAATTCATTCATAACTAAAGAAATACATACTCAAACAAGAACAGCCACTCTTTAAATCAAATTAACAAAGGTAAAGACTGATGATATCCATTGTTGTCCAGAAGATGAAAAAGTATATCACATAAACTGTAGAATTCTTGGTACAACTTTTTCATTTCAACTTTTTCCTTTCTTTTCTTTCTTTCTTTCTTTCTTTCTTTTTCTTTTTTTTTTTTTTTTTTTTTTTTTTGGTACCAGGAAGTGAACTCAGGACTTCATGCTTGTAATGTAGGTGCTGTGCTGCTGAGCTATATTCCTGGCCCTACAACTTTTTCCAAAAATAACTGAGTACATCTAGCAAAAATTTTAAATGCTCTAATAATTCTTCTAGGAATTTGTTTTAGAAATATATTCGATTCAGGTGAACAAAAATATTTGTAAAGTTATGGTATGAATGCCTATGTGCATCCAAATCCCAGGACGACAGCAGTATGCAGCGGGATCCTTGGGAGGTGATTAGGTCATAAGGACTTCGCCCTCATGAATGGTATTAGTGCCCTAGAGAAGACTGCAGCTGAGGGAGGAGCAAGTTTGCCTCTAGAAGAAGGGAACACACAGAATCCAGGTGCTATAAAGCAGAAAGCCCTCAGGAGACTGTGAATCTGTGGGCATCTTGTTCTTGAATTTTCCACTTTCTAGAACTGTGAATGGTAAATTTCTCTTTATAAATTACATAATCTAAGGTATTATATTATAGCAACCCAAGTGGACTAAGACAAAGAACATCTGTTTTCCACAGCATATATAAACCTAAATACCCATCAATAAAAGACTGTCTAAATATTTATGGTATATTCATATCATAATACAAAATGGCAATATATATATTGCTATATAGCTATTAAAAATAGCTATTGAAACACTTAATATAGAAAGAGATGGAACATATAGTGTTACATGATAAGAATAAACTACAAAACAATACAGTGTGATTCCATTTGTAGCAAAATACATTTCTATATTAACAGAAAATATCTAGACGTATTAATGGTACTCTATAGGAAGAAAGGTTGTTTTCATTTTTTTAGTTCACACATTTCTATTATCACTGAAGTTTTTTCTCAATCAATAGATTATATTTATAAATAAATTTTAAGCCAGGCACAGTGGTGTACACCCCTAATCCCAGCACTTAGCAGGCTGAGGCAGGAGGATTGCTGTGAGTTTGAGGTCAGCCTGGACTACATAGCAAGACACAGTCTCATAAAGGAAAACAAAGATTAAAAAAAAAAAAAGAATGGGTTGGGGGGTTTAGCTCAGCGGCATAAGTGCCTGACTGGCAAGTGTGAGGTCGTGGGTTCGATCCCCAGTACAACCAAAGGAAAAAAAAAGAAAGGAGAGAGAGAGAAAACACTTAAAAAAAAAAAAAAAAAAAAAAGCCGGGCACAGTGATTGGTGCCTGTAATCCCAGCATTCAGAAGGCTGAGACAAAAGGGTCACTGGAAATTCAAGGCTAGCCTGGGCTACAAAGCAAGACTCTGTCTCAAAAAAAAAATTGTTTTGGGCCAGGGATTTAGCTCCATGGCACAAGCACCAATCTGGCAGACGTGAGGCTGTGAGTTTGATCCCTGGTTCAAAAAAAAATTTTTTTTTCTATAAAAACTATAAAGTCATATGTGATGGTGCATACTATATATAATCCCAGAACTTTAAGAGATCAAGATAGCATAATCACAAGTTTGAGCCCAACCTGGGCAACTTAAGTAACTTAACAAGACCCTGCCTCAAAGCAGGATGGGAGGGTTCCAGTGCAAAAGCTTAGGTTCAATCTCTAATATTAACCACACCCATACACACACACACAAAAAGCCCCAATGATTTTTGATAGATGAAGATCACAAGGAAAATATATGTCATATAAACCAGTAACAGGCATTTGGGCTGCTGAGAAGGAAGTCTCCTGACCAATACAATACCCAAGTCCCAGCTCAGCTGGAGCCTGTGAGGGCAGAGCAGTGAGGGATGCCAGTCCATGGCTACCTATTCTCTGCCTTGTTCTCAGCACCTGACAGACAAATGCAAGCTCAGCAGACTATTGTGGAGTGCAAAGGATCTGAGGAGGGAGGTTGTGTGGTCAGTTGGAAGACCCTGATGGAGTTCATAGGACATGCGGCTTCCCCATTTTAACCAAAGTGGAAATACTAGAATTTCAAGGATTGGAAATACAGTGGCATAAGCACCTGCCTGGCAAGCACAAGGTCCTGAGTTCAATTCCTATATCAAAACAAACAAACAAAAATCACAAAAAGAAAAGGGCTAAAGAATTTCAGTGAGTTCATCCCAAAGCTTGGTGAGAACCTGAAGAAGGAAAAGAATCTGAGGAAAGATCCATGTAATACTGAGACCAAGGTGCGGACTCTAACAACAGGCTGAAACGCACCACTAGTTTGGGAAGAATTAAGAAACGACGCAGAAGAGTAGTTAAAAGACTCTGACATTAGAGGGAATGGCTTCCAATTCCACTTTCACTTTTCTCTGTTAAGTGGGGATGTCTGTAAGGTAAGATTATTAGAAAGACTGAATGAAACAATAAACCCAAAGTGCACAAGACAGTCTCTGGCACATAGTAAAAGTTTTTTAAAATGTAAGCAATTATCATAATTATCATTTAGGAGTGAACCACTAAAGAATCAAAGTTGGTCCCAGGTAGCAGGTAATAAACATATCCATTTCAATGTATTCAATGATTTCAATGTATCCATTCTCCTTCACATTCCCCACCCTGTACAGATTCCTCCTTTGTAAAAGGAGGACATTTGACTGTCCTCTATCAGTTTAACTGTGAAGCTCACCCCCTGGAGCAAAGTGTAGTGGTACACATCTGTAATTGCAGCTGCTAGGAAAGCTGAGGCAGGAGGATCACAAGTGTGAGATCAGCACGGTCAATTTAGTAAGACCCTGTCTCAAAATAAAAAAGGGCTATGGATTTAGCTCAATGGTATGGTGCTCCCCTAGCACTACGAGGCCACAGGTTCAATCAGAAAGAAAAGGAAGAAAAAAGAAAGGAAAAGGTGGAAAGAAAAAAGAAATAAAATTCACCACCTAATACGGAAGGGTGAATTGAGGGAATGTGGGACTGAGAAAAGTCTAACGAACAATATAAACCACACAAAGGGGTTAAGGACTGCCTCTGGGATGCGGAAGCTGTTTCTGGCAGGCAAGGTGTGGGGTCTATAGGTACACAAACAGAGCACTAAGATTTTCAGTTAAGACAAGAAATCTTGACTGCACCCAGGGACGGTGGTGCAGACCTGCAATCCCAATGCTCTGGGAGGCTGAGGTAAGAGGATCATAAATTCAAGCCCAAACTGGGAAACTTAGGGACTTGAGATCCTGTCTTGAAATTTAAAAATGGGTTGGGATGTAGCTCAGTGGGAAGGCCGAGTTCAATCCCCAGTACCACAAACAAAACAAAATTTAAAAAAAAAAAAAAAAAAAAGGAAGTTGTATTGGAACAAAGGAAATTCAGACAAGATGAATAGGAAATCAATCTGGAGGATCTACATTGGTACTAGTATCTTTTAAATGAGTACTGGTATCTTCTCTAAACATTCACACAATTATGAGTCATTATGCCATTCATTTATCAAACGATTATCTATTGAGCGGCTGCTATGTATATAGAAGGCATTAAGGACAAGAGCATACATAAAACAAACTCACTTGCTTTCTCAAACTTTTATTCTAGGGTCATTCTGTTGGAAGGCAATTGTAATAAAAAGATAAGTGGGTATTATACAGAATTTGTATAGTTAAACTGTATACAGAAGTTGCTGTTTCTAGTCTTTAAGAATCTTTCTACCAGATGTGAAGGCACGCACTGTAATCCCAGCACTTGGGAGAATAAGACAGAAGAATAAGAATCCCCATGAGCTCAAGGTCAGCCTAGGCTCCATAGTGAGTTTAAGGCCAGCCTGAGCTACATAGACTCTGTCTCCAAAAAGAAAAAAAAGAAAAGAAAGTATTTCTGCCTAAGAACAATTCTATTCTCATTATTTCACCATAGCAATAAGAGTTACATAGGAACCAAGTATGGTGGGGCACGCCTGTAATCCCTGCACGTGGGATGCTGAGACAGGAGGAATTCCCAAGGCTAGTCTGGGTTTAAAAAAAAAAAAAGTTAAATAGGATAAGTCACATTTGGTTCTCCATTAAAATTTCCAAAATATTATCGGCACTAGCAGTGGCTGGCTGACTGTTTTAAAAATTAAGTCTAACTAACACATAGCCATGGTACTGCCCATTACCATTCTGGTGTAACAATAACATTGTTGAGTAGCTGTGACAGCACATGGATGCAAAGACTAAATGTTTGCTGTGATGTGCTTTACAGGACAAGTTTGCTGATCCTTGCCCTAAAGCATAGAGGTCTTTCCATTTCCACCTAGGAGACATTAAGCAAATTACCTAATTTTACAAGTCTCAATTTCCTCACATGCAAAAATGGACATAAAAGTACTATCTTAAAGGATTCTAAAAGCTGGGCCTAGTGGTACACTCTGGGAGGCTGAGGCAGGAGGATCACAAATTTGATCCCAAACTGGGAAATTTAGGGACTTAGGGAGATTCTGTCTCAAAATTTAAAACAAAATAAAAAGGGCTGAGACTTAGCTCAGTGGGAAGATCTTAGGCTCAAACCTCAGAACTGCTCCACCCACAAAATAAAGGAGGGATATGAGGATTAAATGGAGTATTTCAAGTATACTGCCTAACAATTTCTAATGCATGCTCAAGTAAGGGTTAGTGTTTTATTTTATTAAGTATTAATAATCTTATCAGGATTATCTTTTCAACATACAAAATATGTCACTATTTCCTTCTTCATAGCCTTTTAATAGCTGCCTTCTGCTTATGGAATATTGTCAAAATTCCTTACCACAGCAGTTAAAACACCGCAACAAGCTGAGTATGTTGGTGGCATGCACCTGTAATCCCAACACCCAAGAAGCTAAGGCAGGAGGATCACTGTTAGTTTGAGGCCTTCCTGGGCTATACAGAGAATTCCAGGCCAGCCTGCACTACATAGTGAGACCCTGTCTCAAAGAACAAAAAAATACAATGTGCTCCAGCTTATCTTTGGAACCTCACATTTTCCCATGGACATTATGCTTTATCCTCTCTATGTCCTCTGGCTCTACCCCTGCAGCCTATAAACATATTTAAGTTTCCCCCATTTTAAAAAAAAATCCTTTCTGGCTGTCATGGCTTTCCTCACAGTAGCCCACCCTGCGTCCTCCATAGTGTCCTTTCCTCTTCCTTTTCCTCTTACTCAGCCCAAGTCCCTCTGCAGAGCCAGTTTCTCCTTCACTCTTCACTGTTACTTTTTCTAATAAACTTTGCCACTGCTTTTTAAGAAATCCTTCTTTGCCTACTCCCTTATATATCACCCTAATTCACCCTTCAATTGTTACCAAATTTAAGTTACATTCTCTGTCTATCTTTTTTGATTCCTAAACTCATTATTATCTGCCTTCTGGCCACATCACTTTTCTGTAACTTTCACTGCAGAAAGTTTACTACAATCTTCTCTATGAAGCTGCTGGTTTTGAAAAAAGTTTTTGCGGTGGGTCACACAGCTCCACGTCCAAATTCCTTAGCATGTTATTCAGCATGTGATTAGAAATAATAATCACGAAATAAGCTAATCAAAGTAAGTCCATAGGAAGGAACATTCAGAAGCAGGTACAAGACTGGAAAGCCAAGAAATACTATTTGACTTTATTTAATAAAATGTTTTATAAAGAAGCCAGGTTCTATTATAAAAACAATGGCTGTATTTCAAAGTACGGGTCTTCCAGAAGTTGAAATCTGGTTGGTTATGATATATATACCCTTGCTTCTCTTCCTCACAGGCCCCCATCATCATGAGCACACTTTTCAGAGGGGTCACAGATAGCAGCACATCTAGGCAGGCTGGCTTCACACGACAATTTTCTGTTGGCCTTCTTCCTCATCTCCCACTGATGTCCCTGTACCACAATTGTGTCACATATTCTACTTTTTTCTTTCCATTTACTCTGCTTCTATGAGCAGCTTCTCTGCCTGACCTCTCCCACTTCACTCCTTATACAAGCCACCACCACCACCATCTGGTGTCAAAGAGCTGGCCAGCTATGACAGGTACTAGCTCTATACTGGCAGAGGAGCTTGAGAAAGGTTAATCATGCCAACTGCTATAAATAGGATGTATTTTAAAGGGGAAATATTACTCATCCTTGATAAGGAATTGGTATGTGTCTAGAAAAAAGCATATAATATCAACAGTAAGTTTTTACTTCAATTGCTATTGTTAATTAAAATCTAAATTGTACATGAATCCTCAAGTATTTTTTAGTACAAAATAAGACAAAGTATTATTCCTAAATTCTGAATGATTCTCATTCTCCAACCCCATCTCCACAGTTAGCTAGAATTACTGACTCAGAAAAAATAATAGTGCTTTTCTTTCTGTTTTTTGAGACTGGGTCTTGCTATACAGTCCAGGCTGGCCTTGAACATACAGTGATTCTCCTACCACAGCCTCCAAGTGCAGGTTTTACAGGAGTGTGCCACCCAGCTAAGGCTCTTTCTAATCTAGACAAAAGACAACTCATCATGGCTCTAAAATAAGCCCAACAGGAAACTGGTACTATTGGTAAATTAGACTTTGATCAGACACTTCATTTGCCTCAGTCTTTCCTGTAGCACAATACACTGATTATCATTCTTTTTTTAAAATTTTATTAGTCTGCGCTTGCAGTACATGAAGTTTATATCCATCTTAGAGAGTAGGTACATGTACATGACATGTATCTTGATTGTCTATCTCCCTTCTCTTCCCCTTCCCCACTGGCCTCCTTCTGTCTCTAGATCCCTTTTCCCCATTTTCAATTAGTAATAATTGTACTTCAGATAAACCTCATTGGCTATGATACTGTCAATGCACAAAGCTCCCATTTTCATTACTATTGTTATTATTTTTTTTAGGGGCCAGGGGTTTAGCTCAATGGTGTGAGCACCTGCCTGGCAAGTGCAAGATCATGAGTTCTATCCCCGGTACCAAAAAAAAATTAGTTCATGTTTGCACAATATATAATGTTCACATTCATTGCGGGTCTGGTCCATGATACATCTTAAATCTTCTTACATCCTTTCCCTTGTCCTCCCCTTCACCATCAGTCTCTTGGACCCCTTCCCATTTACAAAAGATCTATATTCTTTTCCAAACTTTGTGTGTTCTCAAGCTGGCTCCATTGCCTAAAATGTCTTTCTCCTTATCCTAATGTAGTTAGATCCTACCCATCCCTTTTATTTTTTAATTTGTTGGAGAAAAGGAATGGGGAATAGGGATGGAGGAATGGGAAACAGGAATAGTTCCTGAAAGACAGGAGGGGTCCCAAATGGGTCCCCAAACCCATTTTGTTTGTTTTTGGTTTTTTGAGACAGAGTCTCACTGCATAGTTTAGGCTGAACTTGAACTCACTATGTAGCCCAGGCTGGTCTCAAACTTGCAGCAATGCTTCTGCCTCAGTCTCCCAAATGCTGGAATTAGAGGCATGCATCACCATGCCTGGCTCTACCCAACCTTGATGCCTGATTCAAATACTTTCTTCTGACAAAACAAACTTGGTTCCCTCTAAATGATTTCTGAATTTGTATACTTGTGAAATGCCAAGGCACCATCTACACTGCGCAAGTCAGCTCTCCTCACCTTTACTAGGCTTAGCTATGCCTCCTATCTTCTCCACTGGACCACTGCTTCCTAACACCTGACATGTAACAAACACACAAGCATCTGGGGGGTGAACTTAAAGCAATCTCGATCTCTCAGAAATCGCTGAGCATCTAATATGTGCCAAGCACTGATGATGATGATGACAACTATGATAATAGACAACTTTTTTTAAAAAGGTATTTTAAGCTTTTAGGTTTTTCATTTTTTGTCATGGGTTTTTTATTTTGGTTTGGTTTGGGTTTTTTTGAGACAGCAAGTGCTTAATGAAACTGACTATGAAGTATTGTTCTAAACATTTCATAATCTGTTAAATCATTTAATATTTACAATAACCCAGAAAAGTGGTACCTTTATAACCTCAATCATATCAATAAAGATCCTGAGACATGCAGAAATTAAACTTCTTGCCCCAAGTCATAATAGTTAAAAAAAGCACAGTGAGAGCTGGGCATGGTGGCTCATATCTGTAATCCCAGCACTTGGGAGGCTGAGGCAGAAGGATCACAGTGAGTTCAAGGCCAACCTGGACTACATAAGAGAATTCAAGGCCAGCCTCCACTACACAGCAGGACATTGACTCAATAAATAAATAAATAACAGGTGACAGTGGGCCCCAGACTTTGTGATATTAAATCACGTGACATTATATCTCATAGCTATAAAAAGGATATAAAGATGAGTAAGACAAGACATAGATCTCTTCTCTACAAAGCTATTGGCTACTGAAGAAGGTTTTGTGGCAGATCACACAGATTGTAATTAAAGTCCAAATTCCTCAGCATGTTATTCAAAGGTCTCACTCAAACTTATCTTATCTCCTTATATATACACCTGCATTCTCTATATTTTAGTTATGCAACTTGCCACTCCTAAATATAACCTGAATTATTCATTTTCACATTGTTGCTAGAATGAGTCTTTGTTTCTAGTATTCATTTTTCAAAGCTTCACTACTTCTTAAAAACGCAACTCAAGAACACCTTCGAATAATAACAAGCATTTATACAGCATTTACTATGCCTGACACTGCTACATATTAAATCACTAAATTCCTAAAATTCATCTTTGGGGTTGTTTATAATAATCTGTAATCTGGAGACATAATTTCAAATATTCCTCTGATCCTTCCAATCAAAATTAATCTTTCTCCTCTTCCATAGATACTCATACCAGTCTATTTTGAAATCTCTTTCATAACATTTATCAAGCCTATCTTCTAAATCAAGTTTAATGTGTATTTATTTCTTTTACTAAATTAGGTTCTTAAGTATCCATGCATGGAAAAGAATGTCTACTTATTCTTCAAATTATTTCCCTTTTCCTTATGAAGTAGACTATATTTCCCAGTGTTCATTATAGTGAGTTATGACCATAAAACTGAGTTCTAGCTCAGCAGTACAGGAACAGAATGAATGGGCTCTGTCACATTAAACTTCAACACTCTCTTCCATACACTTTTTTCATCTGCCAGCAGATGCAGAAGATCTGCTGGAGCCAGGTGTGGCAGCACAAACCTGTAATCTAACAAGCAATCAGTAGGTTGAGGCCAAAGGATCACCAGTCGAGGCCAGCCTGGACTACATGGCAAGACCCTGTCTCAAGAAAAAGAAGATCCAATGGACAGAGTTTATCCTGGATGAAAAAGAGCTCCCCTTTCATCTCCATACAATGTGCATTTAAGTGACACAGGAGTAAGCCTTTAAACCAGTGAGATTTTGAACAGCCTATTACAGAAGTCAGCAACCTACACTACAAAATACTACACTACTGTGTAGTTTGGCATCTCTCTATATACTTAAACACTGCCTGTTCACAGTGTTCAGTAACGTTTACTGAATTTTTGTGCTCACTTAGGCAGCACATATACAAAACTTGGGGATATGGGGGAGATTAGCACAGCCCCAACACAACCACTAACATGAAAATTCATGAAGCAGTCCATAATTTTAAAAAAATATTTATTGAAGTCACATGCTTATAATCACAGCGCTTAGGAGTCTGAGGCAGGAGGATCACTGTGAATTTGAGACCAGCTTGGGCTACAAAGTGAGTTCAAGGCCAGCCCACACTACGTAGTGAGACCCTCTCTCAAAAGAGAACCTTCCCCCCACACACACACACAAAAACTGAATTTAATTAAAACTTGAAATTTGTATTCTAAGACAGGATCTCTCTTCAACTCTATTATCGGCCAGAAATCTCAACATGGGGAATGGAGCACAGGAAGAAAATTACATTAAAAAGAAAAGTTTAGCTCTCCTGATATTTAATTATGAAATAATCTTTAAGTGATACTGGAAAGCAAAGGGGGCAGGGGGAGAAGAAAGTTGCTAGTCCACTAACTTTAAAATAGATTATCCTGAATCATTAAGCTGGGTCTCTGTACCATAACAATCCTTGCAGGCAGAAGAGGGAGACAGAGGCACAAGGCACCAGTGCTGGCTGTGAGAATGGAAGGAGGCTACAGCCAATCAATGTGAGCAGCCACTCACAGCTGAAAAGAATGAAGGAAAGAGCCTTAGAAAGGAACGAAACCCTGTAGACATCTGACCACCCCCAGGAGACCTATGAAAGAGTGAATCTGGGTTGTTTTTAACTCCTAGGTTTGTGGTAATTTATTGTGATAGCTACGGGGAGCTAAATATATGTACATAACAAAAAAAAATTTGTACAGGTCGCTAACCTGCATTACAGTGTTCACAGATCTACGGTAGTTTTGGGGCTTTGACTCTTTCTAAATAAGTACAAGGGAAATGACACTAACATGTTTCTGCACGGCATTCATATTTCATCAAATATTTATTGAGCTCACAGTTTTGTATACAGTTCAGAGTTAGTTTTAAGTGTCAACCCTCCCCAAATGTTTATTACCTAAACAGCAAAGAGAAGAAAAGGGCATGGAGGATAAAACACCTTGAGTTGCTCTCATCCTGATTCAAAACAAAACACAACACTAACGCTGTTAGACTTGCACCTGGAGTTTTGTGGCCATTGCACCAAAGATGTCAGGAAAATTATTAAGTATTGCTCACCTATGATTAGCCCTCTGTATGTATCACCTGAGAAGAAATTGCCTTCATGTTACCATATAGGAAAATGGGGTTCAGTAGACTGAAGTGACTTAACGATGACTGAAGAGAATACTGGAACCTAGGCATTTGGATTCAAAGCCTATGTTGTGCCCCATGACAATAAGAAAAAAAAAAAAAAAAAAACGACCAGCACTTCAGTAACAATTTCATTTAAAAAAATACTGGGAAGGGTTATAGCTCAGTGATAAAACACACGCTCAGCAGTGACCTAGGTTCACTCCCTAGCACCCACACAGACCTATAACAAAAAACACTCATCTATGAATCAATGAAAATTTCACTGATGTGCTTCACAAGCTCTTCTGCTACCACTTTTGTGTGATAAGCAGCATCCACATTGTAAGTTTCTTCTAACCAGTGCTGGTCTTTCCAGACAAATGGCTGACTCCAAAGGTTACAGCAAGCCAAGCATGGGTGATCCCAGCACTCAGAAAAAGCACCATAAGTTTGAGGCCAGCCTGTGCTACTTAGTGAGTCCAGAACCAGCCTGAACTACCCAGCTAGACCCTGTCTCGTAAAAAAGGGAGAATGGGGTTTTATAGTGAACCCAGGGGTTGGTTCAAAAGGAAAGTGCTTGCCTAGCATATGCAAGACTCTAGGTTTTTCCCAGACACTGCAAAAAACAAACAAATAAAATAAAGGTTAGAGCAATGACAATTTCCAGAAAACAAAATAAGTTTTAAAATAGTTGGGCATGGTGGTGAAGCCTACAGTCCCAAACTACGAGGTTGAGACAGGAGGATCACAAGTTTGGGTTCAGTGTGAGCAATTTAGCAACCTGTCTTTTAAAAAAAAAAAAAAAAAAAAAAAAAATTAGCAACCTGTCTTTAAAAAAAAAAAAAAAAGTAGGGGTGTTGGTTGTGGCCCAGTGGGAAGGTCCTGGGTTCAATCCTGGGGGTGGGGGTGAGGGTAACTTCTGATATATACATATATTTTTTGGTCAATTTCCTCTCACAATTTTGGAAGGGATCTAAAACATACTCCACCAGACTCTACTAAGCTTCCGCATGTGGCTAAAATGAAATGCTTTTCATTTTACTCCCAAATAAAGCAAAAATGCCAACACTCCAACTAGAAAGACTTAACCAGTATTTTTTTTAAAAGGAGAAGAGAATGTACAATGGCACAAATTTCAAGTTTCAAAAGAATCATGAATTTAGACCCATAAAAAGGCAGTAACAGCCTTGGGTAAGGCTTGCTGAAGTTCAAACATGTTTTGGAACCATTACATCACAGAAAACTGGTTATGCTAGGTCCTAGATACGAGAACTCAGAAGAAAAAATTCAGCTGAACAGACATTAACCATTAGAGCCTCACATCAGGTGAAACTGAACTGAGCTGGCCCAGATCTTGTTTTCTGCCTTTTTTTTTTTTTTTTTTTTTTTTTTGGGTCTTCTTTGAGACAATTTCACTATGTATCCCAGGGTGGCCTTGCATTTGCCATGATTCTTCTGCCTCAGCCTTCTGAGTGCTGGGATTACAGGCATGTGCCACCACACCTGGATGGCCACAATTTTTATAGCCCAAGCTTAACATCACCAATGGCAGAATTAGCAGTGCTTGACAATCAAATTGTGTCAGTAGTACTACACATAATAAGAGGATCAACCAAGTTCTTGGTTTAATTTTACTTTTTTTACTGAAGTAATACTAAAATCTGAAAAGTTACAATTAGGGTCAGTTACGTAACTCAGAAATAGAGTGACATCTAGAATGTAGAAGGCCCTGGGTTGGAACCCCAGGTACAGAAAAGAACAAAGGACAGAAGGAAGGAAGGAAGGCAGGCAGGCAGGCAGGTAGGGAGGGAGGGAGCGAGGGAGAAAAGAGAAAGACAGACAGCAGACAGACAGAGAGAAAAAAGAAATCCATTTAATAAATATCCCAACACCCTAGACTTCTAGGAGGAATGAAATACATTCTCTAGCTTGAATAACAACTGCAATTAAACTGAGGTGAAGAATGAATTCCTAGGGGCTGGGGATTTAGCTCAGCGGCATAAGCGCCTGCCTTGCAAGCAGGCTGTCATGAGTTCGATCCCTAGTACCAACAAAAAGGAAAAAGACAAAAAAAAAAAGAGTGAATTCCTTCTGTAACTATTTTAACAAAAAAAATCGGAAGCCAAGCAGTAACTATAAAAATTATCAAAATCACGTTTTAAAAAAATTCAGCGAATTTAGAAACCAAAGCAAACCAAAGCATCTAAATTGTGTTCCCCACATCTTGAAAAGTTTCCTTTTCCTCAAATTTATTCTTTTTTTTAGGTGCAAGGATTGAACTCATGACCTCATGTTTGCCAAGCAGGCACTTACACTGCTGAGCTAAACCCCCGGCCCCTCAAATTTATTCTTTATTATAACATTACTTATAAACTTACACCAAAATAGAAATTTATATGAACATACACTCATGTAAAAATATTCTCACAATGATTACTTGTCCCTCTCCCAAAGAGAAAGAAATGGACAGACAAAAGAAATTTTTCTTTTAATGCGCATATATCAAGTAATTACTGTAATACTGGAATCTCCATAGGAAAATACAATTTTAGGGGGGCCAGGGCTGTTGAGACAGAATCTAACTACATACTTCAAGCTAGCTTTGAATTTGTGGAGACACTCCTGCCTCAACTTCATGGATGCTGGGATTACAGGTCTGCACCAACACATGTGGAAGAATTAAATCTTTTTGTTGTTGTTTGCAGTGTGAAAGATCAAACTCAGCATCTCATGCATTCTAGGCATATGCTTTACCAATGACCTACATCCTAGTTTGTTTTGGTTTTGTTTGGTTTTTTTATTTTTGTTTTTACTGCTTGCTTGTCACATATATATTAAGAATAGTGCCAGGCAAAGGGAATTAAGGGGGCAGTAAAGAAATAAACACAATGGTCCTTTGTTGAGGAAGTTCACAGATAAACCAGGCAGTGTGTAGTTGAAATCCCAGCACTTGGAAAGCTGAGGCAGGAGGATTGCCAGTTAAACATGGCAAATTTGAAGACAGCCTAGATTACACAGAGATCTTGTTTCAGAAAGAGAGGAGGGGGCATAAAGAATGAATGCCATACAGAACACTTACTAAGCACTTTATGTATCAGAAACAAAAACTTTTAGTGCTTACCTCATTTAATCCTTACAAAAAAACGATGTGATAGGTACTGTTTTTCTCACCTTTTTAAGGGCACTGAAGAGAGGTTAAGTGGCTTGCCCAAGAACACACAACTAGCAAATGGCAGGGTCAGGACTGGATCCTTAAACTTCAAACTGACAGTGGAGACTCACAGCTGTGACTCCAGAACTATGGGTAAATAATAGAAGGGCTGAGGCCAGAGGGCTGGGCTACACAGTCAGTTCTAGGCCAGCCTGGCGTACATGGCCAGCCTATTTTAAAAACAAAAACAGCCCCGGGATTTAGCCGAGTGGCATAGTGCCTACCTGGCAAGCACAAGGCTGTGAGTTCGATCTCTGGTACCAACAGCAACACTCTGTTCAACACAAAAAAGGCTGGTGATGTAGCTCAGTGCAAAGGCCCTGGGTTGACGCTCCATTATCAATGGGAGGGTGCAGATTTAATGCCTTTGCACTGCAATGAACTCTTTATGTTCATTATTTCATTTAATCTTCCCACCAACCTAGTACCCTCTATTATTATTACTCCCTACTTCAGAGAAAACTGAGGTTACAGAGGTTACACAAGACCCCCCACTATTAAAAGGCAAACTATCCTGAACTTGTTGTCTAAATTCCAGACACATTTATAATTGCTAACTTGCTATCCCCTGATCTCCCATTTTTAAAACCTGTTCTTCAACAAGTCTTCCCAGTACAGTTAGTTATTGGAAATACAATTCTTCCAATTATTCAAGTCAAAAACCCCCTCACTCTACCTTTGCTTGTGCTGATATCCTAAATCCTAATCTGTCAGGAAATCCCATTGCCCTTTCAAAATTACTCAGACTCTGGCTAGTCCTGTCCACCTCCAGTGCTAACACATGGCCCAAGCCTCATAGTTTTCATGTCTCGTACTTACATAGCTTCAAACAAACACAGAATGAGAAATAACAGTTCCTGCAGTCCCTGCCTACCCTGCCCAAACAACACTGACTCCTCCTCTGCAGGAAATAACACTCGCACGGCTTTCTGCTGTGTCTTATTTTCATCTGTGTGCATCTAGCTATCATTCTTTTGTGTTTTTTTGGTACCAGGTAACTGAACTCACGACCATGCCCTTGCAAGGCAGGCACCTATGCCACTGAGCTAAATCCCCGGCCATAGCTATCATTCTTACAGCACTATCTCTGATCTTCACTATGGACCTTCCACTATGGAGGCTTAAGAGGCAACACCCATATTATTTTCCTTTTAATACTGTTGTAAGATGAATTTGGGTGAGATCCATATTCAGGAGGAAAAAAGCAAGACTCGGCATGACATTATTCATCACTAAGAGGCCACACACTCTGCAATTTATTTCTTCTATGATTTTTTGCCTCTTCTTGCATTTGTTTATTATTAAATAGCTACCAATAATTTTTCCCAAAGCCTCCAAAAGAACTGTCATATGGATTTCCACCCTGCCAAGCACATCAGGAACTTTCTAACTCCTTTCCTCATGTTTCCTTCCCAACATCTCTCCTACTTGCTCTCTTGCACTACAAAAGTCAATCATCCTACAACTTGTTACCTTTCTACTCTTTCTTTTGAATATCATGGCTTCTTTTATATTTTAACTTTGTTTTTTGTTTAAGCTCCTGTTTTGATGGGATCCATCCTCCAGTAGCTTTGTGAGGAAGAATATGTGAAACATAAATGTTTCGAGACCATGGCTAAAAATGTCTTGGTTCTACTCTCATTTTGTCTGGATAAAGAACTCTGAGGCGTCCAGGGACACAGTTCTGTGAAGGAACAGCTGCTCAGCACTGGAAAGCCCTGACTACTTCAGTCAGTTCCTGTCTCTCTCCTCTCCTTCTCCTTCCTCTCCCCATCAAAACCCCTTTTTTCTCAGAAAGTTCTGCTCCAATGGTCTAACTTCCAGAGCTTGTTGAGATCTAATGCCACTGTGATTCTCAAATATTTGTACGAATCAGTTTTTCTCTGTGGAAGTGCTTAGATTCTTCCTTTTATTATCTGTATTCTAAACCCTGGGCATGATACCTTTGAAGTGGGTTTTTTTCATTCATTGTGTTGGGTGCTCAATGGGCTCTTTCAATCAGGAAACCCATGTGGAATTCTAGAATATGTTCTCCACCCCACCCCACCCTTCTCTCTCTCGCTGCAGAGGACTGAACCTGGGGCTTCTGCACTAAGCTACATGCCCTGCCCTCTCCCCTACTTTGTGTGTGTGTGTGTGTGTGTGTGTGTGTGTGTGTGTGTGCCAGGAATCAAACTCTGGACCTTGTGCTTGCCAGGCAGGTGCTTATGCCACTGAGCTACCCCCCCCCCAGCACCTTTATATTCTTTTGTGTGTTTATTTTTTGTCTTTTTATTTATTTTTTGTCCTTTTGAGACAAGGCTTCATTATGCACTTCGGGCTAAAACTCACTTGGCAGCCTATCACAGAGATCTGCCTGCCTTAGCCTCCAGACTGCTGGGATTACAGGTACCGTGGGCCACCACACTAGGCAGTTTCATTTTAGTTTTTATTTTGAGACAAGTCTTGTTAAGCTGCCAAGTTGCCCAGGCTCAGCTCAGCCTTGTGATTCTCCTGCTTCAGGCTCTCACAGTGCTGGAATTACAGCGGTGCAGACACCACTGTGCCAGCTAAGAGTATTTTCTCTTATTAATAAAAAGAACAGATTTCTTAGATTCATCTTTTAATTTTCTTATCTTTTTTTTCTCCCTGTAATGGGGGGAGGGGGCTCTTCAACTCTTATCTCTTTGACTTATTGAATGGCATTATTTATTCTATTTTTTAATTCCTAAAAAAAATCATGTGGTTCTCTGTTCATATTTAATAGTATTTTTTCTCTTTTTTTTCCAGGTTCATAATTTATTGTATAAACTGACTATTACATGATGAGTTGACATTAGCTCCTCCAGGCATGGGAATTTAACAGATGAAGTCAGACACTGTAAAGTCTCAGCATGCACAATGTCCTGTGTTTGGTCCTCAACTCAGTCATGCTGCTTTCACAGCCAGTTGTTTTTTGGACCTTAACTTGAAGTATAAGATCATCAGAGCAACGCTTCCATATGTGGCCAGTATACAATTCATCCTACCTTTGAGAGTGTAAGAGTTGAAGTATTTTTTGATGCCAGTGAACTGGAACTGGGCATCAGTTTCTAGATCTGCCATGATTTCAATCTCTCCACAGACAAACCCCACAGTCGACCTCCTTCAACCTACACAGCCGCCTCCATGGCCCGTCAGCCGGAAGAAGCCTTTTTCTCTTTTTAAGACAGGGTTTCACTGTACAGTTCAGACCGGACTTGAACTCACTTTGCAGCCCAAGCTGGCCTCTAACTAGCAATGGTCCTCTTGCATCAGCCTCCCAGATTGCTTAGTGTCCCACTAAGCTGGACGTAGGCAATATTATATTCAAAAAAGTAGAAGCCTGTTGTCTCCCAGTTTCCCTAGGAACTAAACTATACATGTAAGAAATGGGCCAGAGGGGCTGGGGATTTAGCTCAGCAGCATAAGCGCCTGCCTTGCAAGCGCATGGTCGTGAGTTTGATCCCTGGTACAAATAAAAAAAAAAGAAAAGCAATGGACCAGACATTTAGCTGAGTGGCAGAGTGCATAAATAAAGCCCTGGGTATAATCAATACCAGAAGAGGGAAAGAGAGGAAAAAGAAGAAGAGGAAGAGGAAAAGGAAGAGAAGAGAGGAGATAGGAGGGGAGAGAGACAGAGAGGAAAAGGAAAGGAGGGAAGGAGGGGCAGGTGGGGAGAATGCGAAAGGAAGGAACCAGAATACGGCAAGATAGTTGGTCTCAGTTGTTAGGATAACTGTCTTTCCATTACCCCCCCAGAAAAATCATCTTTAATACATCTTTTATTGGGCTGCGGATTTAGCTTAATGGTATAAGTGCCTGCCTTGCAAGCGCATGGTTGTTGATCCCAGGTACCAAAAAAAACCCTTATCTTTTATTTCTTGCTTGTAACTAGAAGCAAAGCTCTGATTCTGAATTGTTAAAGCCTTTGCATCCGTTCCTTCTCATCTATCTCTGTGGTAAGGAACGCTTTACTTTTAACTAGAATGAATTATTTTCCCTATATCTTTGTTCCCTTTTTTCTCTTCATGTTAAAAACTAGTGGGGTTTTTTCCTAAAGAAAATGAGTATCTCCAAATAAAAGGAAGGCAATTTTTAAAAGTAAAAGCCAAGCCAGGAGTGTTGGCAAACGCCTGCTGAGAGAGGAGGATCACCAAGAGTTTGAGTTCAGCCTGGGCTACAAAGGGAGACCCTGTCTCAGCAAACAAACAAAAAAGATCATAATATTGTCTAGTACAAGGCAGAACTGGGTTGTTCTAAGTAAATATTTGGCGGATGAGGGCCAGGAATATAAATCAGTGGCGCAGCACCTGCCTAACAATTACAAGGTCCCGATTATTATTTCCAGTACCAAAAAAAAAAAAAAGAAGGCATATTCTCCATTTAATCAAATGACAATCATATTATAGTAAATACATTTTGAAGGGGAACTGAAATAATTTTGAACAAGAATTAGTAGATAGAAGCCAGGAGTGGTGGCCCACACCTATAATCTCAGTACTTTGGAGGCAGAGGCAGGAGGATTGCTGCAAGTTTGAGGCCAGCCTGAGCTACAAAGTGAGTTCAAGGCCAGCCTGAACTGCCTAGCAAAACCCTGTCTCAAAAAGACAAAAACACAAAACAAAACAAAATAAAATTAACAGATAGATTGTGGCCCCTCAAAAAGTAAGGAAGAGAATGTGAACAGTCAAAAAGAATTATTAACTTTCTCATGGCATGAATAACAAAGACATGAAGACAAACCCTGGTCCAGATGCTCACACAGGCCTTGGGGATCGGAAGTGAGCAGGGCAGAGCTGGGTTACAGATTCTGAACACTACCTGGAGCAAACAACCTCATTTACAAGACGCTTAAGAGTCCCTGTAACCAACAAAGTATTTCATTGTTCCTTTAAAAAAAAAGAACCAATAACTTAGAGGACTTGATAGCAAAACAACCAATCTTAATTGAAGCAATATACATTTTTAAAAAAATAGAAAAAAACAAAATTTAAACACCTACTGCCACTATCATGCATCAGGCCCACTCTTTTCCTTCCAAAGAGAAATCTTAAGAGGGAAAGAGATAAAAGGAAAAGGGGAAGTGGAGAGGTTCAGCTGGACCACAAATGTCTGGCTCATGCTCCCACGGGGAGAAGGGTGCCTGGGTAAAGGTGCCCACCAGCTGGCAGCAAGCACAGAGCCCCAGCCCCAAGCTGATTCTCCGTATCACCAACAACTGCTCTTTTTCCAATCAGGAGACCATTTCTTCAAAACTCTTACACAGAAGTTCAACATAAAACAGATAATAGGTGGAGCTGCTCTGGCTACATAAAGCCAAGAGAGCAAGAGAAGCCTCATTTTGCTTCCAAGGGAGCCCATCTGAAAAGCACAGGGCTCCAGGAGGTGGGCTGGTCCCAACTTAGATCCCATTATCTCACTTTAGAGGAAAACTCTGGCTCATATTTCTGCTTTAGCTTCTATATCTGTGAAAGAGAGCTTAGCGTATGTACACTGCTGACTAAAAAACAGTAAGACAAAATGAAAGCGTTACCAGTAAATTACTAAGACAATAGGAAGCGTTGGAGTAATATAATAAGGGCTTTGAGGTTGGATCATAGTCATGCTTAATTTGCTACTAAAGGGTTCTGGAGAAGTGTGATAAGTGTTTCTACTACTGCGGTATTTCTCTGGATAACAAAAGCCAAGAGAATTTGTTTGCTCTAAGTCACTGGTTAGGATAACTTCCTTTAACTATATTCAAAATACACAATGAGTAAAGACATAGGCACATGGAAGATGTAAACAATTAGGAACATCCTTTAAAAGGAATCTGCAGAGTGTGCTGAGGATAGAGCTCAGCAGCTGCCAGCCAAGTGCAGGGTCCTGAGTTTGAATTACAATTCGGGGGGTGGGGTGGGATCTGCGGGGTATAATGGCACATACCTATAACACAGTATTCTGGTGGGCTGAGGCAGGAGGATTCACTAGGCAATGTGGTAAGATTCTATCTCAAAATAAAAAATAAAAAAGGCTGGGATGTAGCTCAGTGTGAAGGCCCTGGATTTATTTTAAGTATGAAAGAAAGAAAGAAAGAAAGAAAGAAAGAAAGAAAGAAAGAAAGAAAGAAAGAAAGAAAGACTAAGACAGAGAGACAAACTAAGAGAATGAGAGAGAAAGCCTTTTCTAGTCTTTTAAATTGCTACATATTTGAGATAAATGGCTGATGGAGAATACAAACAGCCAATATCTGAGCACAAATCTACCATGGTTAACAATAATTATAATTTGTAATTTTTCCATATTATACACTGTGATAGTTCCTAAGCTAAGACCTTCATATACATTATCTCATTTGCTGGCTTACTGTGAACCTTAAAATACTTAATATTATCTTTGACACATTAGAAAACTCAGCTAAGAGCAAAGAATATTACTTTTTTTTTTTTTTTTGGAGACAGAGTCTCACTATGTAGCTCCTGCTGGCCTTCAAACTCAAGGTGATCCAGAGGCCTCAGCTTCTCAGGCGTGCACCACCATGCCCAGTTTATTTTTGGTAATTAAAAGTAGTAGGGGTAAAGATCATCCCTAAGCTACTGTACCAGGAGAAGATAAGCTAAGAGGTACACCAAGGAGACATCAGAGTAGTAAGGGTCACATCCATCTCAGCACTACATATTTCTAGGTGGGAACATGTTTATATCTGCCAAAACAAGGGAGAAGAGATAAACTGACTGTAACTCAACACTATCTAATACAGTAGGTCACTAACTTCAAATTTAAATCAAATCCAACAAAAAATTCTATGACTTGCTTGCCCTTCATGTTCATTAGCCACATATGGCTAATTACTGTGCAGCAAAAACATAGGAAATGTCTATGACCTCAAAAATTCTACGGGACAGCATTGCTTTGGTACAAAATCCTTAAATATAGTAAAAACAGAAGTTATAATCCCAGCACTCGAGAGAGACAGAGGCAGAAGGATCACTGTCATTCAAGGCCAGCCTGGACTGCAGAGCAAGACCTTGTATCTCAAAAACAGAAAGGTTGAGGTGGGGGAACCACCAGAATAAAGCATTCAAGTAATGTTTGATTAGGGTGTTCGCCAGCTTTCCTATCGCTAGACACAACACAAAATACCCACAACCCATAGAAAGAAGTTTGCTTTGGCTCATAGTTTTAGGCAGTTCAGTCCATGGTTAGCGGGCTCCAAGTCAAGAACATCGTTGTTGAAGGATGTGGCAAAGTAAAGATGCTTAATTTATGGCCAACCAGAAAGCAGAGTAGAAACAGTGCCAGAGAAGAAGGGGCCAGGAACAGACATAGGTGCCAGGACTGCACTTTCACGATGCACCCCCGGACACACATTCCACCAGTTTGATCTAGAACCTAGGTCTTCACTTACTACTTAAAAAAAAAAAAAATACAAGTAACAACATGTATATTTATGGAGCACAATGTTTTGTTTTACACATGTGTACACAGTATAGAATGATGGAGGTAATTGCTGTACCCATCATGTCGAATTGTTTTTTCTACAAGACATCTGAAATTTACTCTTAGCAATTCAGAAAAATACATTTATTTTTGGTGGTACTAGGGACTGAACTTGGAGTTTTCACACTGAGCTTCATATTCAACTCGATTTATTCATTTGCACATTCATTTGACTTTGAGACAGGGTCTTTCCCAGTCCCTAAACTACTCAGCCAGGCTTAAAACTAATCATTCCAGAGTGTTGGGATTGCAGACATTCAGCACCACGTCTAGGTAACTATTAATTACAGTCACCATGCTGTAGAATAAATCTCAAAAACATATTCCTTTTGTCTAATAAAATTTTGTATCCTTTGGCCAAAATCTCACTATTCCCTCCTCCTTCCATCAGCCTCTGCTGACCCACTATCACTGTACTGTACTTCTACAAGGTCAACTTACTTAGCTTCCATGTGTAAATGAAAACATGATATTGACTTTCTATGCCTCTGATTTCACTTAGCATAATGCCCACTTCAACCAAGTGTCACAGAGAACAGAATCCCCTTCTTTTTAAAGGCTATATAGTATTCCCTTGTACATACACATACCAGTTTCTTTATACATGCACCCACTAACAAACACCTAGGTTGATTCCATATCTTAGCTATTGTGAATACTGCTGCAATGAACATGGGAGCATGACTATCGATTACTGGTCAAGTGGTAGCTTATTTTCAGTTTTTTGAGAAATCTCCATAGTTTTTTTTAACAGCTTCATTTTTAGTTTATATTTTTACCAAGAGTTTATAAGGGTTCCACTGCCAAGACCTATAATCTCCTGTGTGCGTGTGAGTGGGGGATGGGCTAGAGATTGAACCCAGGGCTTTGCATATGCTAAGAAAGCACCTGCCCCTGAGCTACACTGCCAGCCCTCATCTATTTAGTAACAGTCATTCTACAGGTGACAGGTGAGATTTCATTGTCATTTTAAGTTCATTTCCCTTAAAACTGATTGTATTTTTTTTCATGAACTGTTGGTCATTTCTATGTCTTCTTTTGAGAACTGTCTGTTAAAGTCTCCTCTTCCTCTTTTTTTCCACGATGGGGATCCATCCTGGAGCCTCACATACACTACCAGGTAAATGCTTTACGCCTGAGCTACACACCCTGCTTCACTTCTTGCCACTGAGTTGTTTGAGTTCATTATGTATTTTGGAGCTCTGCCTCTTATCAAATGTATACCTTGCAAATATTTTCTTTTCATAAAGTTTGTTTATTGATTAAAAACAGGACTGTTCATCTGTCAAAGTGTGAACACACTGGAATTCATTAAATTATATATTTGGAACTTCATATGCTTTACATAAAAGTATTACATGTTCAAGGCAGTATTATACTTGCTAATAATAACCAATTTTTATTTTGTTGTGCTTTTCATCAGAATTTTTGAGACACTTCCCAGCAAATATATTAAGAGTATACAAAATGAAAGATGGCACTAGGTGTCTAGGTAAGAGAAATTTGGGGGTGAAAAATAAGTTGTCTAGAAACAGTACATATTTAAGTTCCAAAGTCTTCAAAATTGAAACAATTCTTAAAATTTCCTTCCTAAAAACACACTGATTTTATACATTTTTTTCTTCCTTTTTTTTTTTTTTCTTTTCTGCTACCAGGAATTGAACTTAGGGCCTTTGCCTTTGCACTTGCTAGGCAGGCACTGTACTGCTGAGCTACATCCTTTGCCCTCTAATTTTTTTTTTTTAATGTAGTACTAAGGATGATTCTAGACTTCATTCAAATGCTCCATATCCTCCTGGCTGGACTTCAAATACTTGTTTTTGTGTTATTAGAGACTGAACCCAGGGCCTCTGCACTGAACTACATATCTCCAGCCATTTTTTTATTTTTTTGTTTTAAGACAGGGTCATATTACATAGTTAAGTTGCCCAGGCTGGGCTCGAACTTGCAATCCTCCTGCTTCAGCACCCCCGACAGTGATGGATGATGTGCATGTACATCTATGCCCACTGCATTTTAAATCTCTGAAGCAGGAACTGGGAGGAGTGAGGCTCATTGGTAGAGTCTTGTCTACTACATAGTGCTGGTTGAATCCCCAGCACTATGTTAAAGACAAACAAACCCAAAAGCAAGTATTTCTCTTTTTTTTTTTTTTTTTTTTTTTTTTTTTTTTGCCTTTTTCCTTTTTATCGGTACCGGGGATCGAACTCACGACTGCCTGCTTTCAAGTCAGGCGCTTATGCCGCTGAGCTAAATCCCCAGCCCCCAGTATTTCTCTTCTTAATTCCCCTCTCCCCACCAAAACCTCCAAGGAAAGTGGGTAGTGGGTATGCAGTGACCAGGTGCTTTGGTCACTGGCTCTAACAGTATGGAAACGTGCAGTTCTACACAATCTGTACCTCGGTGGAGGTTTTATGTGGGCAGGTACTTTCCCTTGAATGTTTAAAGACCTGTCTTGGCCAAAAATAACCAGTCATGTTCATTAAAGAACAATGAGAAATACAGGAAAGTTTGGAAAACAAAAACACTTGTAATCTTATCATATAAACATACAAACCTACTGACAGTGTTCTGCTGTGTTTATTTCCTGTGTTTTTCCCCCTAATGACAGAAAAACATACACAGTGGTACCTCAATTCACAAATTCAATTCTCTTCATGATTCTGGTTGCTAACTGAATTGGATGAGAACTGAATCAAATTCAACATTAGGTTCAATGTTGACCTTACGGTGAAATTTGATTTGGCCCTTGTCCAGTTCAGTTTGTGACCAGAATCAGAGAAAAATGAGTTCGTGAACCACAGTGGCCTTGAGCTTCCAGACACTTTTATTAGTGTGGCAAACTGCTGCCGGGGTAACCTTGGTCATGGAGATTGCTGCATATGCATTTCAGTTTCTTTTTGAAGGGTTAGGGTGGAGCTCAGGTTGGTCTTTAATTTGCAGTGATCCTCCTGCCTTAGCTTCCCAAATGCTGGAACTACAGGCATGTGGTACCACATCCATTTTAGAGTGAGGCTTGATCCCTAGTAGACCCCCAATTTTCTTGTAATTAAAAGTCAATCTTCCAGCCAGGCATGGTGGCTCACACCTGTAATCCCAGCACTCGTGAGGCTGAGGCAAGAGGATTGTTGTGAGTTCAAGACCAGCCTAGGCTACAAAGTGAGCTCAAGGCCAGCCTGAACTGCAGAGAGAGACCCTGTCTCAAAAAGACGACAAAAAAAAAAAGAAAGAAAGTCCATTTGTCAACTCAATTCAAAAGAGAAGAAAATATGAAATAAAAAAGATTGGCAGGAAATAAGCCAAAGTACTAATAATAGTTTTATTCCTAAGTACAAAAACTAAGAGAAAGTTTAATAACTATTTTCTACTATTTTCTAAAGTGATCATGTCTCACTTCTGTAATAAAACAATAAAAAATCATTTTTAAGTCAAATGAAAATATAATCATCTTTAAAATTCCCAGCAGAATATCAGATACACTCCATCCATCTCACTCTCAAATATGACCAAGCCCCCTAACTATCTCTGGGCTACCAGTCTCCCCCTAACACCAACCCCTTTCATATCTTGATATCAGTTACCTCTTAGACTAATCCCTGCTCCAAATCCAACATATGGAATATAAAATACAATATTCTTGGCTTTAGACAAAACATTTCTAAATACTCTGGCACAAGTCTATGTTTCTACATTTATCTGTCAATACTATCTTCTCAAATTCTCAGTTTTTTTTGTTTTTTTTTTTTTTTTTACTTACTTCGGCATTAATCTAATCAAATTCTCAGTTCTAAGAGCTAGGGATTTAGCTTAGTGCCACAAGTGCCTGCCTGGCAAGCATGAGGTTGTAAGTTTGCTCCCTAGTACCAAAACACAACCAATAAAACAAAACAAAACAAAAAAAAACAAATTCTCAGTTCTAGGAGAAAGAACCCAGGCCTGAGAATTATGGCATTGGGGAATATATAATCTCTCAGCGTTAGTTCCTTTAATGGAGAGATGCTGTATGTGAAAAAACTCTTTAAGTAAAAGACCACCATACAAACACTCAACAAGTGGTGTTTCTCAACCACACATGGGGGCACATGCCTGGAAACCCAGCACTCAGGAGACTGAGGCAGGAGGATCAATTATATATAATTCTATTATACAAAAATTATATTTTTAAAAATTTGATGTAATGAATAAAATTTACTTAGGACAAAGTTTTTGTGTTTTGTTTTTTGCATTTTGTTTTGGGGACATGGTCTTACTACGTAGTTTTTTGTTTTGTTTTGTTTTGTTTTTTTATTCATTGGTACTGGGCATTGAACTCACGACCGCCTGCTTGCAAGGCAGGTGCTTATGCCGCTGAGCTAAATCCCCAGCCCCAGTATGCAATTTATTATGACCCTAAACTCATTATGGAGCTCAAGTTAGAGACCAGCCTGGACTACATAGTGAATTCAACAACAGATAGGTTGGGCACAATGGCGCAGGCCTGTAATCCCAGCTTGCAGGAGGGTGAGGCAGGAGGATCATGAGTTTGATGATAACCTGGGCTATACAGTGAGTTCAAGGTCAGCCTGAACTAAAAGCTTGAACTACCTGCTGAGACCCTCTCACAAAAGAACAAAAATATTTTTTATTTTTAAACAAAAACTAGAAAATAGTTTTTTTTTCACTGGTTTCTCATTTTTTTCACTTTTACATATATGCTTCATATGTCATTGTTCTGTTTCTTTTGAAATTTCTTCCCCATCTTCTGAAAGGGTGTTAAAATTCAAAATCTAGTTCAAGTTCTCTCCTCTAAGAAGTATTCTCTGATTCTATCAAGTCAATATGGCCTCTCATCCTCTGAACCTCCTCAAAGCTTGGAGTTTGTTTTAACAAGTAGTGGCATCCTCATTCCACTACATGTACATAAGTCCTAGGTTCCCAGGTAGAGTACAAATTTCTTGCTAGCAATCGCTCTGTTTTATATAAACCCCCACACCTTTCTGCTATCTGACACTTCACCAGGAATGTACCATATGCTCAAAAAATGTGCTAATCTAACTTATAGATTTAGATGAAAATCATCAAAGTAAAAATACTGTCTGGGGCTGGGGATTTAACTCAGCGGCACAAGCGCCTGACTTGAAAGCAGGCAGTCGTGAGTTCGATCCCTGGTACCGATAAAAAGGAAAACAAACAAACAAACAAAAAAAATACTGTCTGGATTACTTTTGTTGTGGATTAGGAAGCTAATGATTCTGAACAAACAGCGAGTTTCTAGTAAGCACTTAATTTAATTTAATATTTAGTACCACTGACAAGCCATATTTCAGCTATATAATCTCACTGTAGTTCAATATAAGTATATAAAAATAGGAGCAATAGATGACCCTAAGTGAACTGCACTTGTATCACATCAAAGCCTCTTCCATGTAAGTCTTAATTAAACATATATTGAACTAAACTGTTATTTGCTCTCATTTGGAAATACACTAAAACGTTAAGATAATTAAAGTGAGAACTACTCAAATACTGATTCCTAGGAAGTGATAATTATATAATTATATATAAAAATAATTCTCAAAGCAAATTGTCTTGAGTGCTAAAAGTTTAGTGTAGACAGCTTTGAAGGCATAATTTTGCTTTATTTTCATTGATTTAATTAAATTCCTCATAAAACAATTAGGAAAATGAAATAACCACATAAAGCCCAGTCTTGTCTTCTTGATAAATTATTAATCAGCCCTGGAAACAACTACTCTAATGAGCTGTTACCAATGTTCTAATGAGAATAAAGCAACTTGAGTGCCAGAGGAAGTTGCCTTATTAAATTCAGTTAATTACTTGGAAATTAAGTCTCAGTGGAAAGAAAAAGACATAGAGCATAGCTAAACCCCAGCAAGATAAATCGAGAATCTCTTTCTAGCCGCCCCCGCCTTCCGCACTGAGAAGGAAAGGAGAGCCACTACCTGAGGATGTTGGGATGCGAGAGTCTGTTCATGAGCTGCACTTCCTTCAGCATGTTCGCCCGGTTACTGCTCAGCGTGTTCATCTTCAAAGCCATCACCTGACCAGACGCTCGGTGGCGAACCTAGAAAATTAAACAGAGGAAGAAAAGAGGGTCAAATAGAGTAGCTGTAAATGAAGTCAAAGTCTCCACACACACACAGAACATGCCAAGGTGTGTCAGTGTCAAGATTTTTAAATGTTTTTATCAGTAAACATTTGTGACACATAATGAATACACTGATTATGGTAGTGCCAGTTTAAATAAATTATAATAGAGTCTTGCTTTCATTAATGAATTTATTCCATTCAGACCAAAATTATTTCACATTGAGCAGGCCAGAAAAACATTAATATCTTAAGAAATCATATCCTTTGTCTGAAAGGCAGAGGTATTTAGTTATACAATTTTAATACACTTGTTTCTACACATGACTCATTTTCAAAGTATCTATAACATTTTCAGTTACAATAATAACTCATATTAATATCCTTTATTTATTTTTGAGACAGGGTCTTGCTATGTAGCCCAGGTTGGCCTCAAACTTGTGGCAATCCTCCTGCCTCGGCCTCCCAAGTGCTGGGATTATAGAAATGAGCTACTATGCCCAGTTAATACCCTTTTTCAAGATTTTTTTTTTTTTTTTTTTTTTTGTGCTAGGGATCAAACTCACAACCGCATGCTTGCAAGGCAGGTACTTATGCCACTGAGCTAAATCTCTGGCCCCTTTTTTAAGATCTTGAAAAAACCAGGGGAAATTTTTGAACCCAACTTCTGATGGCAGCCATCGAGTAAGGATACCAACAGTAAAAAGTTCCTAGGTAGAATTTTCAGAGTGCACAAAAAAAGGTATGCAAGGGCCAGGGATATAGTGCCTGCCTGACAAGCACAGGGTTATGAGTTTGAATCCTAGCGCACACACACACAAAAGAAAAGAAAAGAAAAGAAAAGAAAAGAAAAGAAAAGAAAAGAAAAGAAAAAAGAAAAAAAAGAAGATATGCAGGGCTCGGGATTTAGCTCAGTGGCATAAGCGCCTGCCTTACAAGCAGGCAGTCGTGAGTTCGATCCCCGGTACCAATAAAAAAACGAAAAAGACAAAAAATAAAAAAAGAAGATATGCTTAATCCTATATAACAGTAAATAAACTATAAAATTGTCTTTATAAAACACTAAATTCATACACTTGTAGCCTCCCCCAAGCACCATAAAAATGTATCCATTAAGAAATGCAGAGGCTGGGGATGCAGCTCAGTCATGAGTGTACTAGCCAGGCAAGGACTCCACCGTGGGTTTAATCTCCAAGACCAAGAGCTGAGGGGAGAGGACACTCATGGTAAACACAGAAAGAAACCTGTGAACTATTTGGAGCTAATATTGTAGTAACTCAACCCAAAACAACTTATAATCATTTAAATACACCCAAATTAGATACAACAAACATGAGCTACACCACTTAAACTACTATCCTTATACACAAAGCAAATCTATTTCTAAAAGTTATTTACTCTTTACAGAATGCAATCTATTTTACATGTGGAAACATTATTTCCTCATTTCAGACCACATATCACAGGTTTTAACAACTGTAATGCAGCTGAGCAAGGTGGTGAATGACTGTAATCTCACTACTGAGGAGGCTGAGGCAGAACAATCATGTGTTTGGGGCCAACTTGGCCACACCGTGGGACTCTTAAAAAAACAAAAACTGAAACAGGCAAACCAAAAAAAAAAAAAAAGCACCGTAACACTTTACTTGAATAGTAATGTTTTCACCCCCTAAAAACTGTCAGTAGCAGCAAAATCAGACTGCCAGAGAAAATATTTTTTCTTAACAAAAAGAAGCTCAATTATTCACTGAGATGTGAGCTCCTTGCTGAGGAATCAAGACAAAGGCAGCAGAGCAGTCATAAAAGTCTCAAAGACCTCAAAACTTTCTGGTTTTAGAACAAATCACATCTTATACAACAAGTACTTGTTATGCAAAATGTTATCTTTCTATGGACTTAAATACATTTCCCATGTTATACTTCATTGCCTAAAACCTCCAGTAGAAAATATCACAAGTTACTTTTCAACCTCCAATAACTCTGTAATAACAGTAGCCCCCTAGAAGTTTAATGTAACTAATAATGCAGGACAGACCTTAGAGCTTATCAACAGAGTAGCAGAAGGCCAAGATCAGCAAATGGGATGCTTGGAGGAGTCATAGTAGCCTCAGACAAGAAACTGAGGCCAGAGCTAGGATGAGGCTCAGTGGTAGAACCCTTGTCCAGCACATGGGAGGCTCTGGGTTTGATCTCCTACACCAGACCAAAAGGAAAGAAGGAAAGAAAGAAGGGGGGGGGGGCGCAGAGCTGAAAGCACAGCCCTGACAACCCCTCCTAGGTCACTTGCTGAGATCTGGCACTGAACTCTCTTAGCACATCAATGATTCTGTTGTCATGGACCTCATGACTGCTGAAACAGAAGTGGCTTTCCTTGTCAGATCTTGTGTGGATAAGTTAAAAGAAATACTGAACTCACTAACAGTATTTTTCCAACTCTATTTACCCAAGACATCTGTGTTTTAGGGCTCTCCATCTGAAAACCACTCCCTTTCCCATCCTCTGAAAACAAAACAAACCAAAAAAAAGTTCACTCTTTATCTTAGAACCATGTGTAAAATTCAAAAAGAACTAATTTTCATTTCAAACCAACCAGAAAAAAAAAGTCCATTTCCTGAAACAAAAAGGTAAGATGTTGTTTACAACACATTTTCTTTCATTCTTTCTTTTTTTTCTGGTACTGGCAATCAAACTGAGGACCTTGTACTTGCCAGGCAGGCACTGTGCCACTGACCTATACCTGCTAGACTCATTCTATTTTGTCTTTTATCTCCATAAAATATTCTCTCGTTGGTCGTTAATTTAGCTCAGTGGCTAAGTGTCTGCCTGGCAAGTGTGAGGTCGTAATTCGATTCCTGGTACCAATAAATAAATAAATAAATAAATAAATGTCCTTCTCTGCAGCCCCACCCCCCACCCCTGCTGAATTTTGCTTACTTATACATATATTGGCGGGGGGAGGAGGGTCCTCTTGAGGCAGGATCTCACTATATAGATCAGGCTGGCCTCAAACTCACAGCAATCTTCCTGCCTCAGCTTCCCAAGTGCTGGGATTACAGGCATGCACTCTTTATCTTTTAAGGCCACATTCTGATGTTCCCTCCTCTCTGAAGTCTCCTGACTCTCTCTAGAAATGGTTTGTGGTTCCTTTCTTTATGCTGTCACCTTAGGACTACATTTACAAAACCAATACAACATTTATCATACAGCTATGTGCAAAAATACCTTCTCACTGGGCTAAAAAAGTACCGTGAGACCAGGAGCTCAGCTGGACTCATCTTTCCTTTCTTGTGCCAGGGGCCTGACCTATCTCATGAGCACCACGAAAACAATGGAACAGCAGTTACTGAATACTTCTAACATATCTTCTATACACCACGGAATCATTTATTTACCCATATGTGTTCTGGAGGGGAAGGATAACTTTCTTTTTTTCTGAATTTGTTAGCAGAGGTATGGGGAAGGATATAGAGAAAAAACTGTAAAAGAGCTATGTTTATAGCAGCATTATTCATGGCAGCCAAAGCCACTGACAGACAAATGAACAAAACAGGGTACTATTATTAAATAATATTTAAGCACAATATTATTCAGCATTTAAAAGGCAGAAAATTCTGACACGTGAATGATTTTAAGAACATGCTAAGTAAAAGAAGCATGTTACAGAAGGAGAAAGACCATGTAATTCCACATATATCACATACTTAGAATTATAGAGATGGGAAGTAGAATATTGGTTACCATGGAATGGGGAGCTGTTTTATGAGTTTAGTTTTACATATGAAAAGTTTCTGAAAGTTGCTTATACAACAATGTGAATATATTTAACTCCACTAATTGTGCACCTAAAATTGTTAAGATGGTACATTTTATGTTATGTATATTTTAATACAATTAAAAATAAATAAATGTAACAAAATTACATTGGCTGGAGATGTAAGTCATGGTGGAGCTTCCCCAGCCTGCATGAGGGCTTGGGTTGTGGGGGGGGGGGCGGGGGGAGGGAGAAGGGAAGAAACATGAGAAAGACAAAAAGAACAGGAAAGGGTAAGAACAGGCAGGGAGAAGGAGAAAAGAAAGAAATTATGAAAAAAAAATAAGTTGAGAGCTGGGCACACCTGTAACCCTAGAACAGGAGGCTGAAACAGAAGGACTACTGTGAGTTTGAAGTGCAGCCTGAATTACATAGCAAGAAACAAAACAAACAAACAAAAAAATCAAAAAACAAAACAAAAATCTCTTCTCTGGTACAATGCCTACCATTTAGTAGTTGCTGACTACAAAAAAAAAAAAAGTTCACTGAATTTAAATAGTTAAGGAGTCAAGTTTGTTTTTGTTTTTTGTTTATTTTACAGTACTGTGAATTAAACTCAGTGTCCTTGTACTGAGCTATACCCTCGGTCCTTCCTTTTTTTTTTGAGATAGGGTCTTGCCAAATTGCTAAATTGCCCAGGTTGGGCTCAAACTTGTGCTCCTCCTGCCTCAACCTCCAAAAGTACTGGGATTACAGGCCTGAACCACTACTCCTGGCTAGGAAGCTGGTGCTATAGAAAGGTAAAAGCAAAAATCCTTGGTCAGCTAAGAGAAACAATTAAATAACTATAAAGATAACAGTGTAGGGGCTAGGGATTTAGCTAAGTGGCATAACTGTCTGGCAAGCGTGAGGTCATGAGTTCGATCCCCGGTACCAAAAAAAAAAAAAAAAAAAAGATAACAGTCTAAAAGCTGTCACAAAGCAATGAATCATGAAGTTAACTAAAGTATTAAATTAGTGAAAAAATAAAAATAAATAATCAATGGCTCAGACTTAAGTAGTCACAGTGGTAAGACGAAGCTGTTATAGCAACAT